CACTCAAACAACAACACTCTATGTTAATGAACAAATAATTGATAAGGTTAAAATAAGACTCAAGAAAAAATGAGTAAACTGGTCTGCCTGGGAGCTGGCATACAAAAGTACTCACTCTTGAATACAATAAACAATTGTAAATAGTAGTGGGCATATAGGAACTGAGACAAAAATGATACTACATTATATTGTCTACTGTTTTAAAAACTAATTCATTAAATCTGTTAAATAAACATGTGAAATGTGATAAAAAACCTAAAGCTTATTGATTTGTCTTGATCATAATTCTGTTCTTCTATTGAACGAGAAAAAAAGTCACCTTTTTTCATTACTCAGTAATGTGGTCTATTAATTCAGTTACTAGGTGCTAAGTTTAGGTAAACAACAAGAAATGTAGTCTTTTTGTTGTTCAAACGAAATCCAAATTGAATTTAAAATCAATAAAAATAATTTATAAAATAAGATTTTTTTAATTTGATGAATCCAGAAGTAGTAGTAGTAGTAGTAGTAGTAGTAGTAGTAGTAGTTGTAGTAGTAGTTTATGTTATAAAAGAAAAAGGGAAATGAGATTCAATGTAAGTCTGTTTGTGTCTATATATGTCTATTTTATTCTACATATACCAGTCAGTCACCTACAACGTAAGACGAGGCACATATGTGCATCGGTCCAAGTTGTCATACCTCATTAGCACAACAAGATGAACACCGGATTCATAGAAGTTGTTAATTCAGTGGTTGTAATATATATAACTTATCAGTAAAGATGGATAGTGATCAACAGTGGAATCGAGGACGTGTGCTTCGTCCTATCTGGGACTCGTCAGCTCCATGTACCTGCATTACATAGTTGATGTTCACTCCGGGAATCAAATCCAGTATCGTACGCCTCAAACACCATTGCGTTGTTCATTCAGTTACTGAGTCCTGATAGCCACTTGCTTCTGCAATGAGGTGAAGTTTAAATTCACTTGATATTATTGGCTTGTAACTTCCCATTGTTGTTTAGGACTACAATTGATCAATCTCTTGTTGGCATATCTGCATCCTGTACGAGTATATCCAGCTGACTAGTCCCAAATGGGACGAAATGTGCGTCCTCGATTACATTACTAACCACTATTCATCTTTACTTATAATGCTTGTGAATTAAGGCAATACGCACATTATACACATATTCCAATACGAGACTGATCAATTGAAGTTTTAAATATCAATGGGAACATACAAACAAATAATACCAAGTACATATATTATATCTTATTACTCCAAACGAATCATAGATATATTAGATTAAAACACTAAGATACTCAAGAAAAAAAAACCCAGTTGAATATTTAATTAGTATACTTTGAAAGTAAATTAACTGATAACCAATTTCTAAAATTAACATCTTATTAATTAACTATTTGTCTACCAAGAAAAAGTCATCCTACACCAAATGAATATTATTTTGTTGATTCTATTAGTGGATTCATATTATAAATTATAATTTCTATTTACTGTTGTGTTACTTTTTTCTCCCCTAGTGAATGTGACAATTTTAAAAATAATAATTAACAAAAATTAAGCGAAATAGTTGAGATCATGAGTCAATTGAAGCTAGATCACCATGTGAAAACTGGAAGCATTGAATATCTGTTTTGTCCTGTTGTGGAACTCCTCACCAGTGTGCACGCGCGACCCCACCTTGCGTGATTTGAATCCAGGAACCACTGGTCTCGCGCGCGGGCACTTAACCAACAGTGTTAATGTCTAACTTCAACTAATCCACGAAATTCAGCGACACATCCACCATTATCATCAGTGAGTTACTATCTCACAACAGATTCAGTTGAACTCCACTAGTCACTGCTTCTCACTAGAACTCAAGGAAATACCTCTTGAATTCAGTCACCAGTGAGCATATGTTGGTTAATATCACAAAGGTTTTTGTGGAGATTTTAATGATTTCAATAGTTGAAATCCTGAGTCAATTGAAGCTGGATGAGTACTGTTAAGGAGTCCCACAATATGACGAAATGACCGTCCAGTGGTGTTCTAGCTTCAATTGACTCGTGATCTCAACTACTTAAATTACTACAATCTCCATAAAACCCCTTCTAAACTGAAATAATCAATTTTTATGTCAAGTTTACCCCATTTTTAGAAAAAAGATTTATAAAACTGATCTTGTCTTTTATCTGGTTCATTTTAATGTTTTACCAACTTCCTCCTCCCCACCCACTTTTTTCTCTGAATGATTGTTTTTTTTAAAGAAAAAAATTGATACACCAATAAAATTAAAGTGTAAATTAACATACTACTAGTACAATTTTGTTTATCTTTCATACACCCACATATAAAATGAACATTTAAATAAATAAATAATAAAAAAACTTAAATCAATCTATTTAAGTTTCTAGGGTATACTGGTGGGAATTTAATAAACATTAAACTAATCTGTTAGAAACAGATGAACTAAACATGGTATAATATCAAAATATGAAATAATGTAGGTAAATAGAATTTATAATGTAACTTGAATATTTGTCTAATATGTTGTACATATATTTTAATAAGAAGTCAAATAGTATTTATACAGTTTAAAATTATCATATAAACAAGATGAATTGTAGTGTGAGCTACTTATATTTACACTAGTAGTATATAATGATAGTCAGGAATAGAATGTATTTCAGTAGAAGATTGAGAAAGAAAGAAAGAACAGAACAGAACAGTACAGAAACGGAAAGCAAATTGGTATGAAAATGCATGACTAATGAAATATGAATCAATGGACTGATATATACAAAAGGAACAATCAAGTTTGAGACGATGGATTAATACTTTGCAAATTAACTATTTACTCAATGGTTCTCAGATTTTAGTGTCATTTTCTGTAATTTCGTTCTTAAGTACATTCGATTGTCTTTACAGAATGACTGTCATGTTTTAGTTTAATAAAATTGCACAGTAAAGTTGTTTTGTTTTTTTAACGAATAAGTACTCATGACAAAAGCTATCTGAAATTGTAGGGATTGAGAACTCAGAAGGGAAAAAACAATTTACTGTTTAATATAAAATTACAGAATCTCTTTATAGAATATGAAAATCATGCATTCAATACTTTATTTGCATATTTATCATCAATTGTCTTGTACAAACTTCATCATTCTTTCATTCCTGTTGTTATGAAAAGCACTTTCTGTTCACATTTCTGTTCTCGTCAATTCGATCTTTTCAACCTTCTGCTGCTAGACATTCCAATTCTAATTAGTGTTACATACTACTTATGTTTGTAGACATAAGTAGCATGCACCACGAAATTATATTAAATACCATCACTTTATTCACTTAACTAGTGAGTCCAGATAGCCAATCACTCGGTGGCATTGAAGTAAATGGCACTGTGTTCGATTCCTAGAGTGGACATCAATTCTGGGATAATAGCATATCCAGCTGATGCAACCTAAATAGAGTGAGACGTGCATCATGGATTACTGTGCTAAGCACATTCCTTCTATTCTATATTAACTTGAGAACTTTTACATTTCCGTCTATTACGTATTGGCTGCTTGATGATTACTAATAGTGATGTTAGATATTTAGACGTCATAAACAAGAACCTCTTTGCCTAGGATGGTTTATCAAAAATATTTTGGATTGATAACTGTAAACAGAAACTACATGTTAGTAAATGCATTTATTCTATAAAATTCATATTTGATGAAAAATCTACCTCTAAATTAATGCTCTGAACAAATTATTCTAACCATGAACTTATTTTTCTTCACTTCAATAGCTCGTTTTTATGCCATAGAACGTGAGTGCTTTCGTGTTTGAAACCTTCTACATAGTTAGATTTAACATTTAAAATGAATGTACGTTACCTATGATAAGTAAAAGCAGATACATGCTCTTAGAAGTGACAACCTATCTTCTAATAAATAAATAATTTTCTCTGAAAACCACCTTTTCAAGGGAACTTTTACCACAAATTACAAAATTAATTGGAAAATCAATAAAAATCGAATTATATTAAAGTGTAGTTTCAGTGTAACTTTGAATCTATCAGAAATGTTTACTGATAACTCAAAACAAATGAGACGCACACCTATGAATTCTCTTAATGATCTAATGAGTTGAAATCCATTAGTTTATATTACCGATTTTTGCTTAGCTAACATCGAACACCAACGGTGATCATAACATAACTTTCGATGAAGCTGAATTCCATAGATCATTTTACCCTACCTAATATACATAGTAATTCATATTGAAATAGGTTATTTGTGATTGAATTATAATTAGATACTTGGCTATTAATCAACATTCATATGATATATATATATTCACAGAAGCTAGTATATCACTAACTTGCTAGAATATGTTTCTGATGTAATCACCCAAAAATCAAGTTATTTGATGTGATCTTTCTATAGGTGCTCATTCTAATCATTAAGCATTACTTTAAGTATACTTATTATCGATAATATTGTGATTTATACATTAAAATCTACCATCTATTTTGGGCATAAATTAGGTATTGAGTCAAAGTTTGTGATTATATGATTAATAGTAAATGAATTTTTTTACTCTTTATTGTATTGTGATTATGTTGATCAGCAGTTGATACATAAATTCGTCTACAACATTAAGCATTTACTGTTGACGTATATATTGACATAAAAAGATTACACTTAAAACAATATGCTACAGGAATGAAACAAAAACGTTGTATTGTCAAATCATTAAAACAAATAGCTAAATACTGGTTTACTTTTACTTCTGTTTTTCAGTCTGTCAGAATAAACCAGCATGTTACTGATACCATCTACGATACGTTTCTGAAAAGACCATAAAGGTTTCCTTATTGTAAGTACTATAGAGTCAATTCAAACACTTCTTTAGCAGTGTGGGATAGCTAAAATTCATTTGATTATATGTAAGTAAGTAGGGTCTGATTGAGAAGCTTTGAAAATAACATACACAGTAGAAGTCTTTAATAGAAAGGAACTTACTTCATTGTCTTTTAAAGTATTTAGTTTATCATTTTCATGTGTTGTTATAAACATATGACTTCTTGAATCAACTAATTCTTTATCATTCTTATCACATTGATCATGATCTGTTTGATTTTCTTCATTGTCTTTAATATTTTCTGCTTGTTTTCCAACATTAACTTCTACTTTCTCTTCCCATTCATTTCTTTCTTCTTTTACATCATCCTCTTCCAATGTACTTAGTAAATTTAATTGTGTAGAAATTTCTCTAGCAGTATCTACAACAATTTCTGACGTATTAAATAAATTGGACCATATTTCCAATTCCGGTTTTATATCATCAAATAAATTGGAGGGTAAACATGTAGATGTATCAGATATCTAAAATGTCCACACAAAAAACAAACAAACATGAAAAGTATTTTAAAGAAAGCTAAATACATAAATTACATAACCGATTTGCATTATCTATCTTTCATGTTATTCACATTGAATCTTATTATGCCATCTAGTAAACAATAGATTATACATTATGATAGTAACAAGATAAAGTTATAGAGATACACAATCAAAAAAATCTAACATCTATAATAGTACAAAAATATCTGTATCATGTTTCCTAGTTTTCAATTGTTGTTTGAATAAGATCAGTCTATGATGGAAACCGAAAAAATCCAACTTACACCACAAACAACCTGCAGAAGTTAATAATCATAACTCTAAGAAGTGATTTTAGGAATTGTAATGAGAAACTATAATCAGTGAACTTTAACAATGTCTGGTTTAAGACAGTTATCCACTGTAGAAAATGAAAGAAGATTAAGTATTATCACCAAATGTTTGTACATTGAGTTAGTGGTTTAAGGATTAGTCGTTCATTGCGAGTCCTGAAGATTCTGAGTTCAATCACCAATGATGTTGTGGACAAATACTATTGAAGAGTCCCGTAGTGGGATGAAACGCCTGTTCACTGCTACATAAACCATGAAAATAGAAGCTGTCCTGATAACTAGTGAGCTTAAAATACAATTACTAGAAACACTTCAGACTGGAGAAAAGTACCATAAAGATATCAAGGATAAATGTAATGAATTCATAAATACTAACAGATTTTCCAATGTTCATTTCATTGTTACGAATACATAACATTCTTAGTGTGCAATAATAAATCTCATTCCTTGCATCACCAACTAAAATTTTAAGAATTTCATTGATAAGTTTTTATATTTCAATAGTTGAGATCATGAGTTAATTAAAGCTAGACCACCATAGAAAACGTGAGAACATTAGACGGCCGTTTCGTTCTAGTATGGGACTCCTCAGCAGTGTACATTCAACTTCAATTGATTCATGATCTGAACTATTGAAATTATTAAAATCTCCACCAAAGCGCTCGTGCGCGAGACTGGTAGGTCCTGAGTTCGAATCTCACGGGGGGGACAGATGCACACTGCTGAGTCCCACTATAGGACGAAATGGCCACCCAGTATTTCCAAGTTTTCCATGGTAGTCCAGCTTACATCGACTGATGAATTCAACTATTAAAAAAAAACAACTGAATATTATCGCATTTTTGGAATGTAAATCAAATCTACATTTGTCAATCTTTTCATATTACAATTTTTTCTGTTTCAAGTTCAGTTTCCGTAGTTATAACAAGATTAATAACAAGGCTGTTCAGATTATCATTAAAAAAATAAATATATTCAGCCAACGAATCAGTGACTTTTCATTTTGATGTTTTCTTGTAAAACTATCATTATGAGTGTACTTAAAATTAGATGAAATGTAACAGGAAGTAATCGATATTTTACATTCCTTGAATTTAGAACAAAATGGATTTTTATCAGAATGGGCACTTGTGGAGATCGAATTATTTTTAAGAGTTGAATTTATGAGTCAATATAAGCTAGACCATCATTGAAAACCTGGAAGTATTGAACAGATTTAATTCTAGCATGAGACTACTGATCAGTGAGCATCCATGACCCCATACATGGGACTCAAATCCAGGACATTCAAGTCTCGAGCGTAAACGCTTAATCTCTAGACTACTGAGTCGGAATCAAAAGGTGTTAATGTTTTAATTCAATCGATCGTAGGTATGCACTGATGAGTAGTCCCATATTAGAACGAAACGGTTTTCAGTATTCTCAGGTTTTTAATTGTTGTATAAGCTTACTAGACTCATGAATTCAACTATTAGAATGACTTTTGAACTTTATTGATGATTAATTATGAAATCACATGCATGTAACAACTATACTATAATACTTAATTTGCAAAATGTTCAGTAGTTGTCTCGAACTTCATTGTTCTTGCATTTCCATACTAATTGCTTTCTATTCCTGCTCTTCCTTTCTTTATCTTCCCCATCTTCTGCCGCCAGACAATACATTCTTGACTCGCGTCATATACTACTTATATTAATATAAGTAGCACGCACTACACTAGGATCTAAATAATATTTTACTCCTACTATTTTTCTGAAGTTTCAATATTTATGTAAATAATTTGTATTTTTCATGAAGCTGAAAGTAATGAATGCAGATGTACAGTTTGTTATGACATAAATTAGAGCATACATTAGTCTTTAATCGAATCGTTTTTTTAAAGTATGAATCGGTTTGACTAAAGATTGACAGATCATGGTTACATGTTGCATTTGTGTCTAATATTTGATTGATTATTCCTTCAACTTGATAAAATTGAAATTCGTTAGAGAAGATTTGTAGCTTAAGTAGATGAATGCGATAGATTTTTGTTCTCTGAGATGGATAGTTTGGTAGAAGTCTACTTGAAGTTTATGCTGATAATGTCGTTCAGAAGAAAGCTTGATGACCAAACCATCCAGCACATAGAACAAAACTCCATCAAAATCTATTTTGAGCCATGGTTAACACGGTAATTGATTGTGATGATCAAACCAATGATAAATGCATTCACAGGTATAAGCTATGGCTTATTATAAATAACATAAATCAATAATATTCATTTTATAAATGAAAATAAATAGCCATTTTTAAGTACAGTGTTGTTATTGGAGATTAAAGAATTTTCATAGTTGAAATCATGAAATGATCTTCTCTAGATCACCACTATAACCCTGGAAGCATTAAATAGTTGCGTTAGACTAAAATGGAATTTATCAGTAGTATATATCCACAATCACAAGACCTACAGGACTATTAGCAAACCTTGAACATTTAATCCACAAATTCAGAACCCGATGGTGTATATGCCTAACTGTCATAATTGCACGATATTATGTGAACTGCTTACATTGTAATCCATAATTAGTGATCTCAGTAGTTGAAATCATGAGTCAATTGAAGCTAGACCACTATGGAAAATCCGGAAGAACTGAATGGTCGTTTCGTCCTATTGTGCGACTACTCAGCAGTGTGCATCCACGATCCCGCCTCCTGTGAGATTCGAACCCAGGACCAATCAGTGTTGCGCATGAGTGCTCAACCATTAGACCACTGGGCCGACCGGTATCCAACGGTGTTAATATCTAACTTCAGCCAATCCATGAAATGAGGCCACAGCCCACCATTGTCTTCAGTGAGCTGATATCTCACAACAGACCAGGTTGAACTCCACTGGCCACGGCTTCTCACTGATAAGTCCTGGGTTCTAATCTCGCGGATGGGTGAGATCGTGGGTTCGCTCTGCTGAGGAATCCCATACTTAGACGAAACGCCCGTCCAGTGTTTCCAAATTTATCATGATGATCTAGCTTCAAACGGTTCATGATTTCAACTATTATTACTTTATTGTTTGAATTTTTCATAGATAATAATAGTAAATGAATATATCATCAAAGTTTCTTTGTGCTCTCTTTTGAATGTTGCCTATTAATGAGGAAACTTTATTTCAATAAGTTATTAAATATATTTAAATTACTATCAGAAGGGGTGTCCTTTTGTGTGTGTGTGTGTGTGTGTGTGTATGGAAATTATAGTAATTCCAATAGTTGAAATCATGAGTCAATCGAACCTAGACTAAAATGGAAAATCTGATATCTAACTTAAATCAGCAATTATTTATATTGTCATAGATAATTATTCATAATTATGATTTTTGTTTTTTTGAAGAAAAAGAAGAAGAAGAAGAAGAAATAATAATAATAATAATGAAAGATAATTATTTTCTTTATCATAAGGTTGAAGTATAGATTCAGATAAAAATAAATCAAGTTATGGGCGAATTTTCATATTAAATTATATATATATATATATATATATATATATATATTTCATAGTTGGATTAATGAATTGATTAGAGCTAGATCACTATTGATAATCTGAAAGTATTGGACAGTCGTTTCATCCTAGTAGGGGACTTTTCACTAGTACAACATCACGATCGTATACATCCGACTTGAACTCAAGTGCTTCAGTCTCTAGTGCAAACGGTTAACTTTTTAACCAGTAATGATATATATTTCAGATTGACTTGTGAATTCAATTGTGAAAATGATAAAATCTCCACAAATCTCTATATTGTGTATCTATTTACCTAAATTCTTACACTACTCATTAACAAAATATTTTTTTTTAAAAAAACGTTGAATGTAAGAAATTAGCCAATGTGTAATCATCACAGTAGCAAAAGTACTACCAGAAAAAACAAAATCTAAGTATTAGATAGATCGGAATGGTAATATTTCAACGAAAGACCGTCAAATACTGAATCATTATAAATGACAAAGTAATAAAACTATAGGGTTCATACATCAGTTTTAATTGACTTATAAAGCTAAGAAAAGATTTCACAGGTTGAAATCATGAGTCGATTGAAGCTAGACCACCATGGAAAACCTGGAAGCACTGGACGGCCGTTTCGTCCTAGCACTGGACTCTTCAACAGCGCGCATCCACGATCCCGCACCACGCGGGATTCGTTGAAGCTAGACATTAACACCGTTGGATGCCAGACGGCTCAGTGGTCTAGTGGTTAAGTGTTGGTGCGCGAAGCCGGTAGGTTCTGGGTTCGAATCCCGCGTGGTGCGGGATCGTGGATGCGCGCTGCTGAGGAGTCCAATGCTAGGACGAAACGGCCGTCCAGTGCTTCCAGGTTTTCCATGGTGGTCTAGCTTCAATCGACTCATGATTTCAACCTGTGAAATTTCTAAAACTCCAAGAAACCCATTCTGCTAAGAAAAGATATTTATCAACAATTGTGTTTGTAAAAAGAACAGACAACAATTTTATGAATTATTAAGATATTCAATTGTGAGTACATTACATGTTCTTTTCAGTCAATTTCAACTAACCAAATGATGAAATTCATCAAATGATGTAATAATAATGGATTTTCAATATAGATCTTTATTGGATTTTGATCCCTAATCTTATCAAGTGATGCATTTTTATTAAACCCTGAAAGTGTAGATAACTCAATTATAAGTCTTACAGAATTCAACTTAGTTCAGCTTCTCAACAATATTTCAGTGAATATGAGAAGTGAATCAGTAAGAGTTGGAATTATGCACCAATGGTCGTCAAATAAATGGTTTTTAAAGTAATTTACTCACCACTAGACCTGAAGTCTTGAATTCGATTGCTTGTTTTTTCGCGCTGAAGCACGGTTGAAAAGTTTCGCACTGGGATGATATACACTTATATTCAATGGTTATTCATCTAAATCCAGCCTGCAATGTAAACGACCGTTAGATGCCCAAATTCCTAAAACCATGTATATAAAGGCTAACATACCTGTCATAATATCTTTTAAAAAGACTTAGGCCAGATTCAGTATAAATCTAAAGGCATATATAACTAAAACAAAACATCCTTCCAGGATCCCATTAATTTCCAGCTGTTATTCATCGATTATAAAAAGGCTGCAAAAACCCTATGTTGTTTATTCGTAAATATGAGACGGTTATCCAACGATGAAACTGTGATATTTCGTTAAATCGTGAGTGGACTTCATCCAAAAATGTAGAATGTTGAATCTCAGCCTAGTGATTTATGAGGAACATTTTTACTGAAAAACTTTAACTTATGGATTCGATTCATGGTACAGCCCCGTATGGATACCGTTTATCATTCTTACGGCATGGTCAAACAGCTGCTAAATACTGCCTAACCTAACCTTTGAAGTAATTGTTTCTATATTTCTTGCCCTTTTTTACCTTTTGGGGTTCAGGATTTGAATATTTATAGCGACAAGAAAGTGACTTGGAAGTCATTCTAATGGGCATTCAAAGCAGGCAGCTTATCAGAAAGACGGAACTCCAAAGGTTTTCCTTAGATATAACGGTAAATTCCATACACTTTTTGGAAAGAAAAGTTTGTTTACACGTAAGACTACTCTTGGGATAAGCTATCATTCAATACATTTTGTAACTTTTATAAGTGAATATATTATTTGAAAACTAAAAGTATCTCCCACTAATCTTCTAACACTCTTTAATAAAATAAGTTTACTCTTAAAATGTCTCATTAAACTGATTGATTAAATATGAAATTAAATTCGTTTCCATGGTGAAAATACTTAAAATGTCTTACGAGTACTTCGTATTTCCGGGCACTGAAGTAGTATTATTTTAGTTTCTAAAAATAAATTTACCTTGGCTACAGTACAACGTCTAAATGTTTGATGAAAATAAAATATTTGCGTAAATCTATCAGTTGATTTACCCATATTTTGTAAAAAAAACCTCTAATTCCATTGCATTAAAATGCAGTATATTTTGCTTATAAGTGTGTGTTTACTTATTTGAAATTAAGTAGACAGTTTAAAATAAAAATATTTATTATGTGTAAATTCACTTAGTATTGTTTACTTGATTCTTTCTATTAATGTTTAGGACTGCAATTGATCAGTTTCTTGTTGGCATATGAGCATACTGTTCGTATTTCCCTGATTCACAAGCATTATTAGCAAAGATGGACAGTGGGTAGCAGTGGAATCCCGTACACGCGCTTCGTTCTATTTGGGACTCGTCAGCTGGATGTACCTACATCCCAGGGTTGATGTTCACTCCGGGACTCTGAGATGCAGTTACATCCAGCTGACGAGTATCAAATGAGACGAAACGGGTGTACTGGATTACACTGCTAGCCACTGTCCATCTTTTCATTTATCATGTGGTCTAAGGCAAAATTGATAAGTATTTTTACAACTATGATACAACAATAACATGTTTTCATTTATACTATAAACAGATGGTTTAATTATGTAGATATGTGAAGTAACATAGAGGAGATCAACAGGAGTATTGTTTACATCCACTACTACCCTTGTCCAACTATCCTATTAGACTCAAATATTACTCATTTATTAGTAACGGGAGCAACTATTTTATAAACCTGTTATCTAAATAACCGGATGTGCTGAAAACCACTGAGGACAGAACATCGGTGGTAATCTAACTAATATCAGTTTTTCCATGCAAATAATTTTCTGATCATTGCAAACCGCTAAAGCTGTCTTCTTTTGTTTTCCGTTGAACTTTAATATTTGAACAGTATTTACATTCATGTTTTAAATTATGTTGGATGGAATGTATTTCACTTTAAAATTAGAACTGTTTTGTTTCATTGACAGATAATATCGGCCTTGATAACTAAAAGTAAAATGTTGACATTAAGTATTCAATCTCTTGGATGCTGAAAAACATCCTAATACATAAACTATACCTTGACTTATTATAACTGGTAAAATATTCTTATTTAATAGAATCTTCATTGTTTAAGATATCGAAAGCTTTAAAGAACCGTTGAAAATTGTGATATGCCTATTTTATACTTAAGAAAGTTGTAGATAAGATTTTAAATATAAATCTCTAGGTAATCTGATTCCATATAAAAGAATTCAAGCTATCTGTTCAGGTCAAAGGTCATGTTAACCAGATTGGTTCATCTGTGAGGTCATACGTGATAAAAGTCAGTAAGAATAAAACGACAGAAAACAAATAGGACAAACTTAATGCCCTAAGTGAAATTTTAAGTTCTAAATAATAAGCTTCTATAAACAGCAGCCTAAAAAACTTATTTACTTATTGTACCCCGAAAGTCTATGATCGCCTAAAAAATCATAGTCATAAAACGGCACTATCTTGGTAAAAGTACAATTCGATATGAACGAGAATGTAAAATTGATTAGAACTAGAGTGTATACATGTGGTACACTATAACATGAAGAGATGTTTAAGTGGCATGAATGCTTGTATTTGGATATTCAATCAATTTTCGAACTAAAATGGATCGACTGAAGTTAGACATTAAACCTTCGCGATCGAGACCGAGGGTTCTGGGTTTGAATCCGGTGTGCGGGATAGTGGATGAACACTGCTCAGGAATCCCGTATTAAAACGAAACGGCCGGATTGGTTGAGGTTAGACATTGAAACCGTTCAATGTTGACTCATTGGTCTAGAGGCTAAGCGTTCTAGAGCGAGACTAAAGACTCTGGGTTAGAATCCCGCGAGCGGGATTTGTATGAATAGAATTCGGTATTACATTTTGTTCAGTAGCATGTACACTGAGAGAGCAGACTAGATATTATGGAAATGAAACTCAGAACATATCCCAAAGAATTTGATATTGAATGGCTCCAAACTACCTAAATACCTAATAATTACATACCAGGTACTGGCTATTCAGGAGATCCTGCGACTGATGTTTAAGTGAAAAATAGACAGAATAATTGCATAATTCTACATAACGCAGAAGCAGAGGCTATTCTTCATTTAAACCTCATCCTATGTGTATAAAAAAACTTGTAGTTCGCCTAGCACTGCCACAATGATCGGGTCACTGTTACATTTCGCTTCTCACTTTCTTCTCTTGGTTTCATTTATTCGACTTCATCTTTCTCGAATAAAACAAAACTTTCATTATTCAGATAAGTTTTCATTTATGATTTATGATTAGTATAGCTAGTCATATAATTTCGAGATTATTTAATTATACGTTAAACGCCTAAACAATTTGGACATCCAATTACCATTGTTTTCTCAAACCCTCTTTGACCATTTTTAGTAGTAGTATGGTTTTCATCAGTACTGTTATTTGGTTTGGATTTTTGTTAATTACTAACATCTCACTTTTCTTACAGTAGACGTGTTCTCTGGGATGACACTAATAGTACTTGTCCAGGCCACTAAAGTCGGTGTCTCACGATGGTAACACCAATTAAATTATCGTCGCCGTGCCCGAACATATGTTACCGAACTTCTGAATTACTAGCATGTTGTTGTCATTAGATGTCAGCAGTCCTTCGAAGACAACAATGATCAAACACAGAGAGTCGTCTAACATCCTCAGCTCGGAGAGACCAGGTTCCACAAGCATAGAGCAAAACTGCTCTCACCGACGCGTTCTAGATCCGAACTTTTACAGCAAGACTAACAACACAAAAATGTCAAAGATGGCATAAGCCGCTCTGGCTTTCACTATACGTGTATTGGTCTCATCACTCACGCCACCACCAGCATCTACACAGCATCTTAGATACAAAGACTTCTCGACTAGTTTTACCTGCTCACTACCCAAGTTGAGTGCATTTGCGAGATCTTGCTAGTCCTGTAAAAGTATTTTACACTTGCAAGGTGCAGAGCACGTGCCATACCTAGGGACAGTGATTGGTAACTGAATAAGTGCTAGTTGCACGGCTTGGGTATCATCATACAGTAAGACAATATCATCCATATAACCAAAGTCAAGAAGTCCTTTTCCAGGCAAAAGATCCTAAACATAGCGTGGAATATTTTCGTAGTTGCTTTTATGTCTGACTTTTTCATGTGTTTTCATGTGGTTTCATGTGGTATATTTTCAAGTCCTGCTGTTTCCCCGCACTTGATTTGTCTGATGGCTATTCTGATTTCTTCGGTCGTTGGTGGAGTGACATCTATAGTGAGGTCTGTGTGTGCTGCATCGATGTCTGGTGGATTTAATGGAGATGACCTATTTAAGAGCTCCTCAAACTGCTCTACCTATCTGTTCCTCAGTTCTCGAATCTTAGTGATGCTCTTGCCTTTTTTGTACTTGACTGCTGTCGTTTTGTTCTTCCTTTATTGAATCTTGTTCTGGGTTTCAGTAGAGATCCATTCCTTATGATGATGCTTCTTGTGGTCCAGCACCTCCTGGCACGTTGAAGTTAATGCTACTTTGATCCTTTTTCAGTTGTCTTCCGTCGTAGTTTTTTCTATAAGTTAACATATACTATGAAAATCTTCAATTATATCGGGTCCTCTGTTATTTTCTATTCAGTTTAATATTCCTTTGAATCATCTTAATAGAACACATAAAAATGTGACAAGCTTAAATCTATCTTATGATATCCCATCTATCAACTTACCCAAAAACATTCATACATGCATACAACAAAGAAAAAAACAATTAAATATTTACTTGTAGTCTATCACGAAATTCTCGACCCCATACTTTTGTCGGTGTATCATTGTTCGTTTCAAGATCTTCTTTTTCATCATTGACAATTTCAGACAATTTCATCAATCCTTCATAGAAGCTACTACTTTCCTCCATTAGTTGAATATTACTATTAATATTATTATCATTATTATTATTATTCGATAAACGACTGATATTTTCAAAATTAGGACAACGTTTTAATAAAAGATGATTTTGTTCATTTGTTTCAGTATTACTGTTGTCAGTAATGGTTGTTGTCGTTATATAATTTGAAACTGATGTCTCTAGGGAACTATTATTATTGATTAGTGAACACTCTGATATATAATCTTCATGTTTATTTACATTATAATTAGTACTCAATAAATTATCTTGTTGATTCATAGAAACATAATTTGAATTTAATTCATTTAACCAATTTAAATAAAGATCATTCATTGAAGGTTCATAATTAATATCATGATTTTTAATTGATGATTTTATAGTGTCATCTATATAATAACTTCCAATTGAAGTTACGTTAGTAGTTCCTGTCGATATAGTAGTATGAATTTCATTTTCACTGAATATACTACTATTAATTGTATTATAAGTAATATCGTTAAAATCAAGTGTTTTATTTGAATTATTTGTACGATGATATATATTTTCATCTATTTTACGTAAATCTTCAGCATAATCCCATGATTCATTTAAATTATATGGAAAAAATAGATTTAAATGATTTGAATTCATTTCATGATTAGATAACCTATTTGAATGATAAGAATTAGATTGATCATAATATGAATGAATGAATCTGTCTTCATTATCATCATCATCATCATCATTATCATGATCATGATCGTCAGTATTAACATCTTCAAAATAACTAGATTTTAATGCTAAACGTGGTCGTTGTTGTTGTTGTTGAATCATTTGATTAGATAATGATAATACATGATCATCATTAATAATTATTGGACATGATTGTCTACGTGATTGATTATTGCATTGTAAATGTATATGATTGGAATATCTTCCATTATCTTGATTGGTTAACAAAGATTGAGATAAGGATTTTGTTTCATTATTATTATTATCATTAATCATATTCATATCTTCATTATATTCATCTGAATTATATTGTGGTATAATTAAACCAATTTTATCTTCATGTGATTGTGTATAAGTGTTAAATAGTGTTCTTTTTTCTAAATATTTCATTGATATATCATTCTTAGAATCTTGTTTTATAGATGGTTGTCTATTAAGATAAATCAATGAATTTTCATTAAATGGATCATTTTTCTGATTGATTGAATAAGAATTAAATGATTCTATTATATTTTCTTGATCATTTAATATAATCTGATCTGAATTAGATCTACTTAAATGTTCTTGATTATCATGATAAGAAGTATTCAGATAATTCATTGAAGAGATAGTATATTCTTCAGGTATAAACTGTTGTTTATCTGTATGATGATGTGATAATATGTTGGTTGGTGAGACTGAAACATTTTTGAAATAAACTTTTAAATTGTTTCCAATAAATATATAAATATATATATATTTATAAAAAGTTAATTTAATATTAAAAATGAGGCACAAAATTAAATTTTAATATATGTGACGAAACTCTAATTTATGGACGAGTCAATCAGATATGCTTTGAAGATTTCAAAGTCACGGTCCCAACTTCTGTGTTTAATGCTAACGTACGATCAGTTCACAGGGGATTTTTGTACAAAGCGTGATAAATGAGCGGTTATGTGCATCGTGTCGTTATCCACAAGTAGCATTTTGTGCACTAAGCAACCGATGTGCACATATACAGTATTGTAGCTATGTGGTCGACGTTTGAAGAGTTTTTGAGACTTTATCATGGCTCCACAGGCCGACTAATTTATAGCTGTATAGATTATTTCCTCTACTGCTTGCATTACGATTTTAGAACCTCTGAACCTCTTTCTAACCTTGACAAGTTTTTGAACCACGTACAAGAAGTGTATCTACTTTATTTCCTTGATTTTGTATGAAATATTTTCACTCTATACTGACTGTTTGCTGATTGGCGAATATTCGCAAGGTTACTTAAGATTTGTTCAAAGGTCGTCCTTAAATAAGGGTCTCGCCGGAGTAACAATCGAGCTAAATAGAGATTTGAGGTTGAAAGAATGAACTACTGAATTCTTTGTTAATAGTATAAACATATTATGCCCTCAGAAAAATCTGAAAATCTTGTATTCTATTATCCATTTATCTAGGTAATTGTTTGACTGAACTATTCGTTAACTTAGTCAGTCAGTCAGTTACAACATAGGACCAGGCACATATATACATCGGTCCAAGTTGCTACACATCAATTAGCGCAGCAAGACGAATACCGGATTTATAGAAGCAGTTAACTCAATGGTGATAATATATAAAGGAAAGATTTTATGTAAGGATATATTACAGAAAAAAAGAATTAGTTCGTAGAAAGAAATATATAAAATAATTTTAGTCTCATATTTCAAGGAAGGATAAAGAGTGTATACACCTACTTCATCGTGATCGATTCTGAGCCATGTCACCAAGAGTCTCCAACCATTGATTACGATAGTCACGCGGACCCTGAACAAGTAGTCTGTATCTACCAACATGAATCACACCAGACGTTAGTGACCTCAAGCACTGATGCCACGTTTTGATTTGGCCGCCCCTAACATTCCTCCAGCCGTCTCCAACACTAGTGAGCATTGCACGTCGTGGTAATTGATATTCAGGCATACGCAACGCGTGACCCAACCATCTCAGTCGATGAAGATTCACAACCTCATCAAGTGATTTATCATCGTTCCCCAATACCCTACGTCCAACCTCACTATTACTTACTGGCTGTTCCCAGCAGATACGAGCAATATTTCTAAGACATCTGTGATCAAATGCTAGTAGCTTACGAGTATCTTCTATTCTTAATGACCATGTTTCGCAGCCGTAAAGTAGAGCAGAACGAACCCCCGATCAATATACACGTCCCTTAATTGATAGACGGATATCTCACCTTCGCCATAGGTGACGTAAGTTATTAAAAGCCAAAAGACCTTCCTGAATCCATGCAGAGATTTCGTTAGACCTCAGTTAACTCGACAGAATAACTAAGATAACCTATCTCTGATAATGTAAGTCATAAATCACTCCTGAAATCTTATAATTTCTTCAATACTAAGAAAAAATGATATCTCTTCATATCTGAGTACTGTCTAATATGCAAAGTACATTGTATTGAATTATTTATGGATAAATTAGTTAAATTTGTTTTACCTGTACACCACGAAACATTTATTTGATCACTATTATCTAAAAGAACATTTGTATAAGTAGATTGAACAATTTCTTTCCTTTCAGTAGCTTTTTCATCAATAACATCAGTTGGTGTAATCTTTTGTATTTTATCAGTCATGTCTATTCCATCATAACATTCTTCATGATGTAATTGTTGAACTATAGTTGATGATTTTTTGTTATGTAAAATTGTTTCATTCAATTGATCATTTTGATTAGATTCATTACTTTTATCATGAAAATTAGCAAGATCAGATTTTTGATTGTCTTTCTCATCCGCATTATCATCATCATGATCATCATCATCACTATCCACACTGAATTGTTCACTAATTTGTTTTGTAAAATACAAATGTAGATGATTTTGATAAGTTCGATTTTTATAATTATCCCTATCAACATCATCATCTTCATCATGAATAACACCATCATTTTGGCGTAAAAATTTCTGTCCCATTGATACTTTTCTAGTTTCATTATTTACAGGTTGATTATCATTAATGGAATGATATAGTCGGTGTGTTGATTTAACCACCTCTTTAATATTGTTTTGTTCTGAAGCTCTTCTTTGATGAATATTTTTTAATATAGAATTTTCATGAGATTTTACAAGTTGTGTATTATCCTTCTGTATTAATTGTTTCCATTCTTCTTCTTTTTCTTCCTCACCTTCATGTTCGTCTTGATCTCCACTATTCACTGTAGATTCATCTAAACTAACCTGATCAATTAAATCTTCATATTGAGAATAAGATGCTGTTCGTGTGATTCCATGAGTTTTCTTTAAAAATATGGGAAAAAACGAGTTTAATATAAAGAAATAAATAATTTCAATAATTGAAATCATCAGTCAGTTGAAGCTAGACCACCATGGAAAACCTGGAAGTCCTAGACGGCCGTGGATGCGCACTGCTGAGGAGTCCCATGCTAGGACGAAACGGCCAGTTTTTCATGATGGTCTAGCTTCAATTAACTCATGATTTCAACTACTGAAATTTCTAAAATCTCCAAAAAACCCCTACTGAAAATGAATAATTATAAGGATTTTTAATTATAGCGTGTTAGTCATAAGGTTTAATATTATATTTTTTATGTAATCCTCTAGTTATGATTATTATATTTCCCATTCGAATGTCATTACCTAAAGTATTTCAAAGCTTTGATTATAATCATATTACTGATTGTGAATTTGAGGTGTTTAGAGTTGATGAAATGCAATGAACCAATGAAATATTAATGTAATGTCCAAGGATTAGACTTAACAACCAGATATTAACTGGTTGAAGAATGAGTGACCTACAAGCTAATTTTCTTCAATCATATAAGACGTTTGACCATATTTATTTTGTGTTTATATTTTGTATATGTGTGTTATTTCATTAGATGAAAAACTAATTCATCTGGCTAGTGGTCTTACCTTTGATTTCTGATCGCTTGCGATAAGTCTTGAGAGTATTCATCAGTCAGTCAGATTAAATAATTGTGTTCATCTATCGACAAACATTCTATTCATTGATTTTAAAAGTTTAGATTTATTAATATAGGGTTATGGAGACTGTTGAGCTTAGATTAATATCATGAATAGATCACGTTAGACCATTACTGAAAACCTGCAAACACTGGATGGTCGTTTCATTTTAGTATAGGACTCCTGAGCAGTGAGCATCTACAATCCCGTATGCTGGACTCGAACACAAAATCTTCAATCTCACGCGCGAACACGTAACCTCAATCGATCCAAGCTGAAAAATTTCCAAGACCCTATCATGTGCTCAATAGTGGTCGACTTGAAAATGGATATCCTGGAGTCCTAATGAGAAGCCGTGACCAGTGGAGTCCAATCCGTGTCGTGTGTGGGGCAGTCACTCACTGAAGACAATGCTGAACGGTCGTACAATATCACTGACTGTTTGAAGTAAGATATTAACACCGTTGGATGCCAGCTCAGTGGTCCAGAGTTTAAGGTCTTGGGTTCGAGCCTCGCATGTGGATGCACATTGCTGAGAAGTTCCATACAAGAACGAAACGGCCGTCCAGTGTTTGCAGGTTTTCAATGATGGTCTAACATTGATACATTCATGATATCAATCCAAACAATTTAGATTTGTTTAATCTAATCACAGAACATATTCTCCATAATAAATGTTAAACAATTTTCCAAAACTTTTACTTAAAATGAATTCATTTACGAAGAAAGCATATCGTATATTACTGCTACTGAGAATTTTTCAAAAAGGTTTTATTATTTTCTTTGTTTGTTTAGGAACGGTCGGTATTCAAAATCTGTTATCTAAATGTATCATACTCACGTTGAGACTGAAGTATCTTAGAATTCATCATGTAGAGGTTCTTTAATCGTAAACTAGAATAAAATAACAGTTCAAAAGCTTTTGTCATTCAATACATTTGGTAACTATTACCGTAGTAATAAATGTAGTATTATCTTTAGTGCCTGACAAATCAATAAAAAAGTTTCCAATTTCTATGATGGATTCAAATTTGGTTTATAATTGTCGATATGCACATTGATAAAATTTGTTTAATATTATTGAAATCACGGACAGACACAGTTTAAGCGAATATTTATAGCCAAAATGCAATAGACAGTCGTTACAGCTTATCATGAGACTCATGAATGTGTCATCGATACACACTATTGAAGAGCCCCATACAAGGACGAAATAGCTGTCCAGTTTTTAATGGAGTTTTGTTCTCTGGGCAGTTGTGCCAACTGTGAAAAAAAATTACATCGAACGAATCGGACGCCCCTTTCACCTTCGCCTACATGAACATCAATTAGCAGTCAAACGCCATGATATTTCCTTATTTATACCAATACACGTGGACAACTGCGGACACTCATTCGATTGGAAAAATGTGGGAATCTTGGACAGAGGAAATTCCAAAAACACCAGAGGGTTTTTAGAAGCCTGGCACTCACGTCAATCAGCAATCAACAGGCATATTGAAATCAATCCAATTTATCAACCAATCAGGAAAATCATGCACAAATATAGGAACAAAAATCAAAACAATGGGAGACACAACCAAAAAAAAGAAGTAAACAATGATAAATTTAAGGTCAATAAGAACCAATCAACATCGAGGTGTACGGAACAAGCTATCAAACGCATATAGAGAAATTCAAAACTTTACTGCTATCTAAAGTTTGTGCTGATGATATCGTTCAGACGGACGACGAAAACTCCACGACCAAACCATCCAGCTCAGGGAACAAAACTCTATCGAAATCATCCACCTGAGCTACAAATCTTCTCCATAGCTGCCCAGGACTTCTTGATTTTCAATAATTTTTTAAAAACTTAAGTTCAAATTCTTCTTGATGTGATAGAAAGAAAAGTCCGTTTTCGACTGATTTACTCATTATGAATTTAGTTCAAGATGACTTCCGTTTTGGTTCAATGTATTGATTACTCAATGTAGTAATTGTTTCATTGTCTCTTATGATATTTCATTCTGTATAATATACGATATTCTTGTATTCCATTGACATGAACTATGCTCTGTATGTGATTTGTTATAACTCTAAGCATTTTTCATATATGTGATTTCATCTTAATTATTAATCAAAGTGTATGTACAATCAATATATAAGTGAGTGTATTTTCGACTAGGGTCGTCGTCATCGTGTTTGGGGTTAATAAATCTTCACCTATACCAGTCTTTGTGTTCTTGCTTTCGCGTCATGGGAATTGCGGAGGTCCCTCGTTCTGAGTATAAGTGATAAGCGTTTCCGACATAACAATCAGCGACGACCAGATACAAAAAGTAGCATTAAAAGAGCCAAGACAATAAGCATTCAAACGACAAGTTATAACACTTCTGTAGACGATTCTTTAAAAAAACGTCTAAATAATTCAACAATAATTGACATGATCACTTACCTGTATTAGTTTTTGTAATTCTTTCGTTTGTTTATTATTGTTATTTTTAGGAAGACGTTGTAACCAACTACCAGAACTGACAGTCAATTGACGTTTCTTTTGACATAATTTACACAACCAAAACACTTCCTGAATGAAATAAACGAAAGAGGAAATTATAAGAGGAAAGAAAAGAATACATTTTGGAATAAATGATTACTAGAATGATCAATCTTTGTAACTGATTATTTAAGACTTTTAATATGTCAAATAATAATCTACAATCGGAAAAGGGGGTTTTGTAGAGATTTTAGTAATTTAATAATTGAATTCATGAATCCATTAAAGCTAAATCACCATGAAAAACCTGGAAACACTGATGACCTCCACAAACCCTCATTCTGATAACAGTCATCATGTGCTCACTAGTGACAAGCTTCAAAATGGATTTCCTGGAGTTCTAGTGAAAAGCCGTGACCATTGGAGTTCAATCCGTGTCGAGCAGACATAGGTACCTCAGACAATGGTTGAAGGGCTGAACAAGATCATGGATCGATTGAAGTTAGATATGAACACCGTTGGATGCCGACCCAGTAGTTCAGAGGTTAAGCATTCACGCGCGAAGCTGGTGGTGTTTGATTCGAGTTCCCAGTGCGGGATGGTTGATGCTCAATGCTGAGGAGTTCCATACTAGGACGAAATGACCATCTAGTGTTTCAAGACTTTCATTCGTGGTCTGACTTAGATCAACTGATGAATTCAATTATTAAAAATACCACAATCTCTATAAACCCACTTTCTGACAGTAATAATTATGATAATAATAATAAATGTTAGCGTCAGCAGTTTAAAAATCCCCATAGCATATTCAAAAATGAAGAATATTTGAGCGCATTGTTTTCAGTAACTTCATCATCAGGCTCAACAGTTATAAGTCCATCATTATGGTATTTTACAAAGGCCAAAAATGAGTTAAGTACTTAAATCGGATTTTCCAGACGACTGTAAGCGGTATGTTTTTGACTTTTCCTCCGTTAATCTCGATGGGACTCAACTAGAAGTGTTATCATTTGGCCCTAAGTTTTGTGATAGTCGTAGACATGTGGATCTATTTACTCAGATACAAGGCTTAACGCTCACGACAAAGGTCGAACATGAACGATTCAAAACCACGCTGGTTGATTGCTGTAACTAATTTAAAAGCAACAAGCATTACACAAATAGTATATCAACTGATAAACATCGTGAGGCTATCCGGAAACCAAAGTTGAATGAACACATTCTTATCACTAAATCTGATAAAGGATCGGGCACTGTAATTCCAAGCAAGACAGATTACATAGATAAGATTAATTCCGTACTGAGTGATCAAACTAAATTTCAAAAGCTTGGGTCATGTAAAGACCTCAATGAAAAGACCGAACGTCAACTAACTGCAGCATTAAAATTTTTAAAACAACATCAATACATCTCTGAGCATACCTATAATGCGCCCAAGCCTTCTGGAACACATACCCCTCTACTATATGGTCTACTTAAGATTCATAAACCTGATGTTCCTTTACGCCCGATTCTGGATATTTCAAGCTCACCATACCATTCAACAGAAAAATGGTTAGTTAAATTATTAGAGCCATTGCATCAAGAACTGGTTAGGTATAGTGTTAACGACGTCTTTGGATTTGTGGATACAATTAAAAATATGAATATAAATGGCAAAACCATGTTATCACTAGACATAACATCCTTATTCACTAACACCCCTCTGACTGAAACTATCGATTACATAAGTGAACAATTGCTAGAAAAAGAAAATAGAGATACCGATCCGAGTATGTAAAATGGAAGAACTTCTGTTGAAATGCACTATGAATATCTAATGTAAGTTTCAACAAAGAATTTTTCAAACAAGTAGGTGGGGCAGCAATGGGATCACCTCTAGGCCCGATCCTTGCTAATATTTTTCCGGCCAAACTAGAAAATGGACCATTTAAAGACATCTTAAGTAAGCTTGAGTATTACTGTCGACACATAGATGACACACTAATCGTATGTGACGAAAATATCGACAAATAGGAGATGTTGGACTCTTTCGATAACGTCTACCCAGACATTAAATTCACCAACGAGGAGGAGAAAGACAACAGTATAGCTTTTCTGGATGTCCTACTTTCTAGAAGGATAGACGGTTCCATAAAGCTAAATATATTTAGAAAGAATACATGGACGGGTCAGTATACCCATTTCCAAAGCTTCACACCTCTTCAATATAAAATAAACTTGGCTAAATGTTTCAACCACAGAATCAAGTTATTATGTTCTGAAGACAGTGTGGATGGCGAAATAGATATACTAAAGAACATATTACGAAATAATGGCTATCCAGATAATTTCATCAAACAATACCCAGCAGAAAGTACTAAAACAAGAAGAAATTGTGACACAGTCAGTCTGAGACTAGACTTAAAAGCGGACATAGCGGATGATATTTTAGCACGTTGACTCAAAAGATCTGTCGAAAGGACGTTTCACGCCGCCAAGCTACACATAATTTTCTCAACTAAACCAGTATTCACACAACTAATCAAAAATAGGTTACCGAAGATAGGCTCCTCCATGTGCGTATAACAATTCAACTGCTCTTGTGGAGCTATTTACATCGGTCGTACTCAGAGGGCTTTATCCTTGCATGTTCGTGAACATGTACCAGCATGGTTGGGAAAAGGAGTTACTAAATCGATTAACAACACTATTCTTTCTCACTTGGTAGATAGTGAACATCATATCAAAATAGAGGAAGCTTTCTCTATTTTATATCACATTCCAAAATATATACCTCAAGGAGCTAGATTACGATTGCTCTACATAGCCGAAGTCATCTGGATCAACTCCAGAAAACCAAACTTACGAATCCAGAAAAAGTACATCTAGCCACTATGTTGACGTTGGCCCACGACTGAATCACCGAATACCTAAACTGAATATTATAAACATCTTAACCCCACTTTTTTTTATTACCTCTATCTTAATCTTCACATCCATCACTCCCAATTCGTTTATCGTAATTACCTTGATAACACCCCCCTTATTATATATTATATTCACACAACAATATTATTATTATCTCAATTGACAAGATGAAATTCTCCTACTATGCATTTTATTCACACAATTTTTTTGCATTTTCATTTTTGCTATAATACTATTCTACTTATTGTGACTAGACACTTTACTCCAAATCAATCTGACCATTATTGAATGACCTTTCTAATTTGCAAATAATACAATTTTGAAGTAAATATATATCGTAACAGATGCAAACGTTTACCATTTATAACACATAACATTGTCAAATTCATTAAAACATGCCTTATTTTTGGCCTTTGTAAAATATCATAATTATGGACTTATAGATGTAGAGCCTGATGATGAAGTTATTGAAAACCATTATTCGTTCAAATATTCTTCATTTTTAAATGTTGATGTACTGTTGAGGAGTTTTTGAACTAATACAATTGAGGATTTTCATTCTAAAACCAAGTAGCTATTCAGTATTGCCTTGTTTTCTATTATTCTATTGCTATAATTAGTTAGCGATGTCAGTCAGTCAATCATAAGTAACGTAGAACATGTCACATGAGTTCATCGGTTCAATTTATTGCACCATATTACCACAATGAGATGAAATTATCAAGAAAAACTGCTGAATATTAAAATGTATAATAATTTTAATGTTAATAAGAACATTAAGTATAGGTACAATATGATTCAAGGAAAGAACTCTCAAAATAAGTTAATTATAAAACTTAAGATGTGAGTTAAAAAGAAAGGGGAAATAGTTCTACTCCATTGCAACTGATTTTGAGCTATGCTATCCAAAGACTTTAACTAATTCACCTTAATCAAGTAATCTTTGTTCTACCAACATTGCTCAGTCTAATAATCAATGACTTTATAGATTATTATCATATCTATAATGTAAACTAAGATAATGAATGTCATATACTGATATATATATATTATCAGTTTAAAACTAATTACAAGTTACTTAGAATCCTAAAATATTCACTGTAAATAGTATCAATCAAATTAGAGCAAGCATATGCCTATAAATGAGAAAATCACAATTGATTGATCACTAAGTGGTGATCAATGTCATGTGTGTCAAGTCCTACCTAGTGCAGATCGAATGCTATTGACCAAGTTGCAGTGTGGCCACTAGACTAGGTGACTCGACATTGCGTACACTATGTTGAGATTAAATGGTGGTTGAAGATAGTCAACAAGAAACCCTGGACCCAGGTTTCGTGCTAATCTGCATCGTTTTCCTAAACTCTTTATCGATTATCTAATTTTAACAGTTTGTTAGATTGATTTTAATGTTTTATTAATGATAATAATTTGTATTTATCTGTTGAATATACTTATTACCATGTATATCAAATATTATAGTTGTTAAAGACATCCTTACTGAATAAGTTAAGACAATGACTTTCATGCAATTAATTCCGTTTATGAATTTCAATAAAGCCAGAACAAATATTGATGCAGAATGATATGAATTCATGATATTTCGTGGGTTCTCGTCAGCTGCTTACAAATAAGATAATAGTACCGTTGGACGCCGGCCCAGGGGTTTAATGGTTAAGCGCTCGAGTGCGAGATTGATAGGTCCTGGGTTCGAATCTCGCAGGGTGCGGGATCGTGGATGCACACTTCTGAGGAGCCCCATACTTTGATGAAATGGCCGTTCAGTGTTTCCAGGTTTTCCATGATGGTCTAGCTCTAATTGACTCATGATTTCAATCAGTGGAATATGAATTTGATATAGGCTAGTTTCTTGATTATTTATAGTCACAAAATTGATTTAAACAAAATAGATCTAACATTAATTACTACAATATATAATAAATTCATTACATTGAATAACTTTCATTTCACTTATATATAAGCTAATAGGTTTAGTTATATTCAGTTATTAATATAACTTTCAACTGGAACAAATGAATAATCTATAAACAGTAATCTGTTTACATTATAAATGAAGTTATTCATTAATTATGTATATATATGCTTATTGAAAGTAAGAAAGCATTAATATGTATTCTATTTCTTAGATCTCGGCAATCTTTAAAGAAATGATAAAACTTGTCAATGATATATTGTAAAGGAAACATGAAGGGATCAATGTTTAAACGTTCATAACTTATACTCCTTAAACTATAATGAGAAAGTGATGTTTGCTAGAAAAGTTTGGAATGGTATATGTAGTAATAGATATTGATCTTCCAGAAAAGAAGTATCTTTAGGTATTTATAAAGAAATTATGGTAAAATGTCTACGAACCTAAAGAGAAACTGGGTTTTCATACAATTGATTTTCATCAAATGTGACCAAATCACACCAAAAAAAAATCATTTTGGAAACTAAAATCAGTTATAAAAAGTATATTCCCAAAAGCAAAATTGTTTTCATAAACTCAATAACGCAAACAAAGGGAAATGAATATCCGTCACACGTCACCAACTTTCTATATTAATTTACATGTACGTTCAATGGGTTATTGATTGCAACAATAAAAATACGGTCATCTACATTCACAAGAACCTAATTATTCAATGACAAACAGTTTACGAAGTTCAACTTCACGTCATCTTAGTGGAACAAATATATTCAAATTAATCAATAAACAACCTAGCTAAACCTTATTAAAATTCAAAGAAGAGATAGAAATTCGAAGTCTTATTCAATACAGGTATATGGTTAACATTTATATGTCTTGGCAAAAGACAGTTTAACCTTTATTCTCATTCCTTCACTCTTCAATTAATAATGAGTACAATCTAATGAGTTCAAATTAAATGTAGATTATTTCTTAATCTCTTGAATTTTTATACAACACATAATAAAAACTAACCTAAATTTCATTAAAATCTCGAACTAATCAAGTTTAAGCATTTATTAGAAGCTTAAAAGCATTAGACAGCCATTTTTCCTAGTATGGAACTACTCAACAGTGTGCATCCACTAATCACACCAAGAGTGGATCTATCACTTTATCTCTAGATCAATAGACTGAAATTCGTTGGTGTACAAGCTTAACTTCCATTAGTCCAATATTAAATAAGTTTGTAACCATCATGCCAAATATTTCTAAAAACCATGTTTTAACTTTAATTATGTTAATAATTCAAAATAATTAAACATAGTCGCTTGTATGGAGATGAAAAGAAAGTAACAAAATATACTTTTGAAATTAATATTATTCAAGTTTTAAGTAAACTCGGAGCTGAAACTTGGAGAACTACAACAACCACCATCAAGAAGGTACAAGTATTTATAAATGGTTGTCTACGCAAGATACTCAACATCCATTGGCCGGATGCTATCAGCAATAGCCTTCTGTGGGAGAGAACAAACCACCCTCCGGCTGAAGAAGAAATTAGGAAAAAACGATGGAAATGGATAGGTCATACATTACGCAAATCGTCAAACTGCATCATGAGGCAAGCCCTAACTTGAAATCCTGAAGGGAAGCGGAAAAGAGGAAGGCCAAAGAACACATAACGTCGGGAAATAGAAGCAGATATGAAAAAGATGAATTGCAACTGGAAGTAGCTGGATAGGACTGCCCAGGACAGGGTTGGATGGAGAATGCTGGTGAGCGGCCTATGCTCCTCCACGAGGAGTAACAGGCGTAAGTAAGTAGGTAAGTTTAACTAAACTCGTATAGCATCTATGTTGGAGAAAATAACGTGAAGATAGTAGTCGTTTATTCACATCGTTATTTTTTTATCTACAATGTGACACGTCCATTTAACTGAAGATGTTTAACACATTTATACACAAAGTTTCGTAGTTCTCATATGGCCTAGATAAAATGTAATGTAAAAAAAACAACATCTAAATACCAATTTCAAGAAACATAATTCGTAGCGTATAATTAAATTCCATTGTACAGACGTAAAATAGTATGATTATCAGCAAAATATCCAAGATATCTATCTTCTTGTATTAACTACTTACATGTGAAATTAACTCAAGAATATTGAGTTAAAACTATAAAACATTCACATGCTTGTAAACTTTTATTAGCAGAATTGTATGCAAAACGTGTGTCATATACCGAGCTACCCTCAAGCTTAGTGTACAGTGTTACCTGAAAAAAGAATTCCGTTTAATGAAATATAAAAATATTTGACCTGGGAGTTAGTATCGTTGCATAAATTCACTGGTTGCTAGTTATAGATATACAGAGAATAAAATGATTTCAAGTGAAATTTTCCTCTTATAAATATCGACGTCATATGAATTAATAAAAAAACACCGGCTTCACGATTAAATTCCTGGAGTTCTAGTGAGGAGCCGTGACCAGTGCAGTCTAACCGTGTCGCGTGTGGGGCAGTTACTCACTGAAGACAGCGATCGAAGATCGCGCAATATTGTCGATTGGTTGAAATGAGACATTAACCCAGTTGGATGCCGGCCGGCTCAGTGGTCTAGATGTTAAGCGTTCACATGTGAGACTGCAGATCTTGAGTTTGAGTCCAACATGATGTGGAGTCCCATAATAAGATAAAACGGCCGTCCAGTGTTTGCAGGTTTTCAATGATGGTCTAACATTGATCCATTCATGATATCAATCTAGACTCAACAATCTCCATAACCCTATACTGTTAAAAAAAACATTATCATAAATGCTTTCTTCTCTTGACTCCTAAACAGTTTTACACCTTCTAAATGTGTATAATATTTTTTCTTGATCTAGTTATTTCGATCGCATAGTGAGAAGATGGAGATGATAAAAAATACGGTGTATTTGCACTACACGTTTCAATCTGTTAGGACACTTTTGTATATAAACTAATAATTTTTTGTCGATTCAATGTTCCATAAATATAAAGTGATAATTGGAAATAAAGAAAACAAAAATGAATTTTAAGTAGGTAGAATAAGAAGTCATTACACCATCATAAGCCTTAAAATGAATCAAAAACTAACAGAATAAATTTAAGTTTAGAACAAACAATTTATGTTTACATAAAGAAGGTTTGAGTTTTCTAATAGCCTAAGTTTCTACAAACCTAAAGAAAGCCCCATTGACAATTTCTAGACTAAGCCTCAAACGCTATTTTGCAATCTACCGACTGTGTCTATCGAAGGCATTCTGCATCATGATAATAACAATCTATAACAATAACAACCAACCATCACAAGAAAATGGATTTACTGAAAAAGGTGTTAGACTTACAGAATCAACATTTTTACCAATCTGTACTACACAGTTTGGGCACAGAGTATTCTGACAATCATGGCACACTTTCCAGTCTTGTTCAGAATATTGACCTTCTGGTAATGGAGTTTGTCCACAGAGTAAACAACAATAAACTTGCTTTGTAACATCTTGATTTGATAGTGAAACACGACGTTTAACAACTTGCTCAGTATGTTTTAGTTCAGTTTGTAGTTTTCTATGAACAAAATTAAAAATAAAAATGCAAAATCAAAGGTGTACAGCAGTACATGATTAAGCACAATTTACGAATGATAATGAACACCATATTATTTTATGGTTCTAAAATGCTAAAAGGTATATCATTGTCAACGAATTAATATATGGTCGCTCATTTATCGAAAGTCGAAAATGGGAACTCCTGGACTCCAAAGCATCGATGTAATGAACTCAAGATGCTACCTGAAGGTTTTCTGTTTGTCCTATGAAGGGGTCACGAGTGGATACTACTTTACAGTACTGTCTGGCTTTCAACAGCTAACATGTGAATTCAGTACATGCTAAGAACTGTTTCAAGACGTAATGGTGAAGTATTTTGCAGAATAGGTGGATTTTTGGCTAACAATGGAATCCAAAATGCCCATTTTGTTCGATATAGTAATCGTCAGCTTGATATTCTAACATTCCACTGTTGATATTCACTTCCGGACCAGAACCAGATACCTTTCAATCCAAACGTTTATGGAGAGCAAAATACCATATTCTACACGGTAAAACTGTAAAACTTCATTTCTTTCTGCATAAGCTTGACTATGTGAGCCAAATATCTTCATAAGAATCTCAAAATATTCATTAAGGATCAACGAACTATATATAGTTTTCTTGAATAAAGCATTCATTTGTAAATTCATTTACTTTTAAGACTGATCATCAATGAGTCATTGAATAGGCATACTATGTAACCATTTGTAAGAGTAAATTATTAAAAAACTTACAAACTCAACTATAAAATACCGCAACATTTTTCCATGATTGTCACTATTCCAATAACTAATCTTCATACAGAACATACAGTATCATCCTTTTGAAATTCATTTTAAAACACAATCTACCAAATGTATCTATATACAAGTTTACAAACCTAAGTATTGACATATTCATTCATATAACACATAATTTAGTGCCATTCAACACATAAACTATCAATGAAAGGACGAGTATACTGTGTGGCAGTTCGTTCTGCTTTACCTTACGTTCGCGAAACGTGGCCATTAACAAAAGAAGATACTCGTAAGCTACTAGTATTTGATCACAGATGTCTTAGAAATATTGCTCACATCTACTGGGATCACGCAGTAAGTAATAGTGAGGTTAGATGCAGGGTATTAGGGAATGATGATAAATCAGTTTGATGAGGTTGTGAACCTACATCGACTGAGATGGTTGGGCCACGTGTTATGCATGCCTAAACACCGATTACCACGACGTACAATCCTAACCGGTGTTGGAGATGGTTGGAAGTAAGCTACGTATGGCCAAACCAAATATATGACATCAGTGCTTGAAGTCATTAACTTCTGATCTGATTCATTTTGGGAGATGCAGACTACTTGGTTGGGGTCCACGTGAAATATCGTAATCAATGGTTGGAGACTCTTGGTGACATGGCTCAGAATTGATAACAATGGCATCGGTGAATACACTCTTTGTCTTCGCTCAAACTATGAGAATAAAATCGCTTCATATCTTTCTTTCTATTAACTAATTCCTTCTTCCTGTGCTATATCCTTATACGCAATCGTTCTTTTATATATTACCACCACTGACTCAAACACTCCTATGAATCCGGTGTTCATCTTGCTGTGCTGATGCGGTATGGCAACTTGGACCGACGCACATATGTGCCTAGTCCTAAATTGTAGCTGATTGACTGAGTTGAAGTGGTTTTATGAGATTTGGTTTAAATTACATTTTATATTGATATAGATAAACACAAATTATCACATAATCGGAACACAACAGTGTTTACTGAATACAACAAATTCATCATTACCATTATGTTGTTACTATTTTCTCTTAAATATTATACGAATTAAGCTTGTATTATATATCATCTGAATAAAAATGAGCAAGACATATTGAATGAGATTTATCGCAAAAATAGAAACATTAGAGAAAAGATATGAACTGTACTCTTTCATCACCCGTAATTTCTACAATAAACTAGATTTATAATGACAATACGATGAAAAACAATAACTTAAAAATTATATACCTGAAGTCTTTAATCTGGGTCAGTCAATGAAACCTTATCGGAAAGTTGCCTAGTTGTTTGTTTAAACTGATCAGTTATCATCATCACTATCACCACCATCGTCATCATCATCATTAACAACAACAACAACAACAATAACAACCAAAAACAATCGATAATAGATAAATGATGGATATATGAAGCTAATTATTTATTCAGAATATAACATTATTATCATGATTCTTTCTCTCTTTTGTTTTATTAATGTTTACTTTTTCTGCCTTGTTTGAATTCTGAATATATCGAACAAAACAAAATGATAATTGACAGAAACTTATGTCAAATAAGTTTATCAATCAATCACACTCTGCGAGGGATTGTTTAATAAAATATCTATCTAGTTAATAGGATGTTATTATTGTTAATTTATCATTCTATGCAACGTACTAAGGAGAATGAATGGATGATGTTAAAGGTGAAGATAAAAATGAATAAGCATATGAAATAAAATAAATGAATCAAGGAGTAAATACATATTCTTGTAAAATAAAATTTAAAGGATCACTTAAATAACTTAGAAATCTATTATTACAATCATGAACAAAATAATAACCACACACTGAAATCATGGACCGATCAATGTTAGACCACCATTGAAAACTTGGAAATACAGAACAGCCGTTTCGTCCTAGTACATGACTTCTCAACAGTGCCTATTTACGACCATGCATGCAGGAGTCTAACCGAGGACCATTGATATTGCTCACGAACGCTTGACCTGGGTCGCGATTCAACCGTGTGAATGGGTAACTTCAATTAATCCACGATATTTCGCCACAATCTTCATGATTTCAGTCAAATTCAACGATCTCTACAACCATAAACTGACAATCAACATGTACTCACTAGTGACTAATTTTGAAAGGGAATTCTCGGAGTTCTATCGAGAAGCAGTGACCAGTGGAGTTCAACCGTGTCGTGTGAGAGGAAGTCACTAAGTGAAGACAACGGTAGATAATCGTGTCATTTTACGAATTCATTGATCCCGGTTTGATGGTCTACGGGTTAAGCGTTCATGAATAAGACTGAAGGTTTGTGGTTCTATTCTCTCATGCATGATTATGCTTACGCACGACTTAGGTAACACATACTGCGATGAAACAGCCACCCAGTGTTTATATGTTTTCAATGGTGACCTAACATTGATCAGTTTACGATTTTAGTGAAACCTTACAGTCTCCACAACCCTACATCTGATTATAACCGCACAATTTAAGATATTCAGATTCATCTTTAATATTTGATCATATATTTCGTTCCTAGTATTATGTTCATTAACTTCAATTAAATGCATATTAATACATTATATGTGATGATCATTAGCCGATCCTAACTTAAAAAGGATTTAATGATTAACTAATCTAATCTAGTTATAGGAAGTGTTATGTAACCTGTGCATAATAATAAAAATATCTTTAGTACTGTAAAAAGACAGTACTCTCATCGTTAATAGTGCAATTCTAAAAATGAAGTCTAATACGTCAGTCAATCAGTCAGTAACAACATAGAACTTCGTACGTACGTACATCAGTTCGAGTTGCCACACCACATTAGCACAGAGATGCACTTGTCGATTCAAATCCCGTAGTGGTAACGGTAGTAAGAGTATAAGCAGTAATCGGAAAGATTACAGTTTGAAAATGTTATTTAAAGAGTATAATACAGTGAAACAAATTTGGAAAGAAAATAAGAGACATAAAGATTTCAGAAGATTAGTATTTAGGAGAACACAATGAGTGGATGCGCTTGCGCCATTGCAAACGATTTTGAGCCATGTCATTCAGGGTCTCTAACCATCGGTTACTATCATCTCGTGGTCCGCAACCAGGTAGTCTACACCTACCAACATGGCTCAGTCCACTTGTCAGTGACTTCATGGATTTGTGCCATGTTTTGGTCTGGCCGCCCCTGGCTTTCTTCCAACCTAATCCTACACCATAAAACATCGCACGTCGAGACAGTCGGTCGTTTGGCATACATAACACATGTCCCAGCCATCTCAACTGATGAAGTTTCACCACTTCATCAATTGACTAGCCATCCTAAACTAGTAACCGTTTCCTAACAACTGTGTTACTTACTCGATGGTCCCATGATATACGAGCAATATTTCGAACACACCTATGATCGAATACTAGTAACCTACGAATATCCTCTACTCTTACCGGCCATGTTTCACTGCCATAAAGTAGGAAGCAACGAACTGCTGCGCAGTAAACCCGTCCTTTGGTTGATAGACGGATATCTCGCCTACGCCATAAATGACGCAAGTTGGCAATGTTATAACAAAAAATTAGTTTATATAATTAGTAAAACATGGAAGAAGTATAAACGTTTTATGTCTTCTTACTTGTTAATAAAACATCTATTCATAAATATCAGCATTTGAGAAATTACCCTTAGTTTAGAAATCTTCATAGAATATTTAAGAACTAAGAATATTTGAACGAATAATTGATCACAATAACTTCATCATCAGGTTCTATAATTATAAGTCCATGATTATTGTGATATTTTACAAAGACCAAAAATAACGCACGTATTACTGAATTTTACAATATTATATGTTAAAAAAATGATGGACACTTTCATCTGTTACGACACGAATACTTCTAAATTGTGTTATTTGTAAATTAGAAGGGTCATTTAATAATGGTCAGAATGATTTGTAGTAAAGTGTGAAATGACTATCAATTTAATGATGTGGTGTGGGTTACTTATATCCATATAAGTAGTATATAACTGCGATCAAGAGTAGAATGTATTTCAGCAGAAGATCGATAAGGAAAGAAAGAACACGGAACGCAATTGGTATGAAAATGCATGAACAATGAAATCTGAGACAATGGACTGATATTTTGCAAATTAACTATTTACTATATGGTTCTCAGATTTTAGTGAAATGCTCTGTAATTTCGTTTCAA